CATGAATGATCTTAATTTTGATTGGCTCACAAAGGAATTAACCGACGTTTGACTGCCTTTCTTGGTTAAGCTTGATTTCGCAAAATTTATTCATTTCAGTTAGCTAGGAAATAGGGGATGGAGGTGGTAGTAATTGCCCTGTCATTTTTAACGAGCTACACGCTAGTACTAACATAATTTTAAGTTGTTTGAAGTATTATATTGTACAATACAGAAAAGCTTTTGTGTTTCGTAACTATACTAATGAATGATTAAACATAGTTTGAAGTATTAAGATTTCGTTTAATATACCGTAAAACATAAATTTGTATTTTATAAAATATTGAAATGTATAGTTAGTTATAATTCTTATTGTTTCAAAACTATTCTAATATATATTAAGACAACTATTTGATTTCTTAAAATCGTTTTAATGTACTACAATGTATTGATTTATAAACTATTAGATTTTGCAGTAAGAGATTGTTCTGAGACTTCCTAATTATAAAACATTGTTATAAATTAACAAATTAAAGAATTACCACCATTATTTATACTATAACCGATTAATTCTGGAACACAAACGCCCTTAGCTTGGGTACTATAGATGAATATTTTTTGAGAGGAAAACTGTGGTATTTTATTCTGTTGAATATGAATGATTAAACTGATTTGAACTGTTTTATAGAAACGAGTTATTACGGTACTTGAAGCTAACAACAAGTGTTTCTGTGTTCCGTAAATGAGTAGTACTCTACTCCTTCATTAATGGTAGTTTCATTAACAGTATTAGTTATAATGTTTAATATATCTAGTTTTATTATTTTTAATTTGAATTTCTTATACCTTTACTATTTGCGTTGTTAGTTTAATATACATAGGTTTAGAACTAACCTTAATTTCTTAAGCTTGACAAATCTCTTGAGATATCATTAGGTTTACGGCTGAAAATATCGCTAAAAGCAAGGGTATCGATTTGATTAAATACTACATTCTAATCTTTATAAGTGCGAACGTAGGGGTTATCTGCGTTTTCCGTCAATACACCATCAGCCAGCTGTTAGGCTACTCTTTACTTATGAATAGGAGGACTGACATTTAAAAGGAAGAGCATCCTCAGTGAAGGATTGCGATCCAATGAGACGAATGCCCTAACCACTAGGCCATGTTAGGCCTAAGAACGTACTTATTTAATTAGGTATGCTCTTTGCCGGAGTGACGCTTGGTTTTGATCAAACTTACATAACATTTAAGCGTATTATTTGAATTAGTAAATAAAATTGTCAATAGAAATTATTTTAGTTCATAACCGTTTGCATAATATTAAACTTGTTGATGATTTTCTGGAAAGAAAAGTGTAAACAGCAATAAACACGTGCAATATAAATATGTATTAGTGACTCATGTAGCAATATATGTATATATACACACACTACCGAATTATCCAAACACTCATAATTATAGATCGTTCAGATTGAAACTTTAAAGAAATATAAACGAATATAACTAGTACAGCTTATGAGATAAGGTGAAAAACCTAATTCAGGGAAATTTGTTGTAAATCAGATATATCGAAGCTCTGTCATATCATCTAAATGATAAGCAAAATTATCAACCCTATCGCATCATTGATAAGACAGATAGGTAAGGTTGTTCTGATGCTGAGATATATTTTACAAGGGTTTTACTGAATTATGATGCTAAAATGTATTTTACAAAGGTTTTGTTACTGATGTATGACTTGTAACTTTATTTTCAGCTAAGACTAGACATAGTTAGCTTGTGTGATGTGCTTTATTTATGGTTTAGCGAGAGGTATTAACATCAAATAATACCCACCCACCCTCATATATACATTATATCACATTACGTAACCCACAGTTTCCATTAAGTAATGATTTTGGTCCAAAATACTTACCTACAACGTTGATGAACCCACTTTGGCTCTTCATCGGGGAGGTGTTAATTTGACACATGTATTCTCCATTTTCTCGCTCTTCCACTTCCGTGATGTGTAACGTCCACGTTCGGTGACCATTGTGGGCGATGCTAAATCTAGGGTTCCTGGTGATAACCCTATTTTGCAGGGTCAGTAGGGTATAGCGGTCAGTATGGATCCACGCAATCTGACATGTCCGAAAGTAGGAGTATATGCAATTGTTTTGAGATACACAAATTATAATTTACCTAATAAATCATAGCGTTAATACTTATTTTAAAATGCAGCTAAAACAGCAACATCTTATTAAATGAAACTTCTAACAATTAATTACCAGGCTTAAAGTAAATAGCATTCAATTACAAAAAAAAACAAAAACATGAGGAAATTCGTGATTTTTTAAGAAATGTTTTTGATGACTTTCTTATTGATTAAATATGTATATAATGGATACAAGCTTCACGAAGACTGGTAAACTGGGACAAATCGGAAGGTTAAGGAATATATATATATATATATTACTCAACGTTTCGTTATGTACGTTTGATAACTCAAAGGGTGTTTTTTTTAATCTTACCAAAATAAGTTAATCTACATTTGGCTATATTTACTTATTTTCTTAATCGCACCAAAAAGGTTACTTTTCTTTCCTGTAATCATTTGATAATTAACTGCATCTTCTTATCCTTGCCAAATAGTCTTTTCATAATTTCCTGCGTTCACTCTGTAGTTCAAAGCTTCCCTCCTCAATTTTCCTGTTTTAAGCTGTTAAAGATTTCATGTGAAGATGAAATAACACGATCCTCGTAATGACGTAATGATATGCCGCGACACGAGGATCTAGGTGTTTTTATTTAAGTTCCTTGGGATTCTAATCATATAGAAGTACTTTTTTATAGTTATTTTCTACCTTGTTTTGAATAGTCTTTGACTGTTACGGGTTTAACTATTATTTAAAAAAACAGCTCTAGCCATGTGAACTATCTGTCACTTACAAGGGTGATGAGCAGGAAGCTTTGAGGATGTAATGGTTTCAATAATCAGCTTCATAAATGTGGTATTGTATTAATCGTATAACGTAATCTTATTTTCCTTACTCAGAACTGAATAATGCTGTAGTATTGACAATATATATATAGTGCATTGTTATGATCTGAAATCTAAAGGATTTACCAATCTGGTACACTAGTAACACCTGAAATATAGAGGATTTAACATGTGGTGCATTATTATGATCTGAAATCTAAGGGATTTACCTTTCTGGTACACTAGTAACACCTTAAATACAAAGGAGTATAGATGTGTTCACAATCATAGCCCGGATGCTAGAGAATTTACTCATCTAGTACACTATTATAACCTGATATCTGTGTAGGGGTGAAGTGTTTCAAACTAGAGCCTGTGGTACTTAGATATAGGGTGAAGTGTTTCAAATTTAAACCTTTAGTACTTAGATATGGGGTGAAGTGTTTCAAACTAGAACCTGTGGTACTTAGATATAGGGTGAAGTGTGTCAAATTTAAACCTTTGGTACTTAGATATAGGGTGAAGTGTTTCAAACTAAAACCTGTAGTACTGAGATATAGGGTGAAGTGTTTCAAACTAGATCCTGTGGTACTGAGATATAGGGTGAAGTGTTTCAAACTAGATCCTGTGGTACTTAGATATAGGGGTGAAGTCTATCAAACCAGAACCTGTGGTACTTAGATAAAGGGTGAAGTGTTTCAAACTAAAACCTGTAGTACTTAGATATAGGGGTGAAGTGTTTCAAACTAGAATCTGTGGCACTTAGATATAGGGTGAAGTGTTTAAAACTAGAACCTGTGGTACTTAGATATAGGGGTGAAGTGTTTAAAACTAAAACCTGTAGTACTTAGATATAGGGGTGAAAAGTTACAACTCAGAAATGTATATATGAAAAATACACATGGGGATGTGGAGCATGTTTACGACAGGAACAAAGTCTTTACAGATGTGGAGAGCTTAGTTAGGAACTAAAATGTAGGGAGATTTTACAAATACAGTGATTGATGATAATTTTCAATGCGAATATGTTTATGTGTAAGTAAACTAAAGACGAGTTGAAACACCTGAATCTATACATAAAAAGTAAGAATTTTGTGGATATACTAACCCTGTAGGATCCTAGGTTTTCCACAACGCAGGCGAGTTTTACATCTCTTCCTATTGACACAGTAACGTTGGGGATTGGTTCTGCAAATTCAGGTTCAAGCTCAGCATCTTTACTTCCGGAAGGCCTAACTGTAAGAGAAATTAAATTGAATTACTTCTTTAATGCTGCTGTATTTCTATATTACGTTTTCTATTCAGTTTGTTGACATATATATAATGAAAAGGAATTTCGTAAGGCATATTTAATCCTGAATGCTTTCGAGTGATGCACTAGGTTATTGGGTAACATATTCTGAATCTTTTATCGCATGTTAATCAGTGTTCAATTTTAAATGGTAGAACACTAATTACTTTATCAACTCGACCGTTGTAGAGCAAAAGCGTAAATTTAACTATATAAATTTGCTAAGAGAGTGTATGTTGATAACACATAAAAGGTGCTTGTTTCACATAACTAGAAACCTTGGACCAACGATTAATATATAATAGAATATAATAGTTACCGCCAGAATAATTTAGAACGATCTCTCTCTCTATGATTGAGACCCACTCTAGTGGCACAGCGGTATGTATGCGGACCTACAATGTTAGAAACCGGGTTTCGATACCCGTGGTGAGTAGAGAACAGATAGCCCATCGTGTATCTTTGTGCTTAATGACAAACAAACAAACTTTATGATTAAAGATTGGAAAACTATGTTTATCATTTCACGCTTCCAACAAAAGTTTCAGTTTAATTCAGATTCCGGTTTTAGCAGCTGGAATAAGCTATTAAAACCAAGAAGAGTTAGAACAAGGTCCTACTGTATAACTTAGCTAATGAATCTTCAACTCAACCATTGAGTTTTATAGATGCGAAAAGGAATTAGTTACGTTAGAATGCCGCGTTGTACGTATAGGAATCGTTCGTCTCGTCTTGCTATTCTCAAAACACTACAGAAAAATGCTATCTGGCACTATGTTCCTTATCAAGTGCTTTTGTACACGAAGTTTTTCTGTTGCTGTAATCGATCACTTTACGATTTATGATTAAACAAACCAAGCCACAATTTAAATATAACGGCCAGAATGTTGCCAGTAAATCTGGTAGGCCATGGAATTGCATATTATTTTCAAGATATTGAAATCCATCTGTTAACTGGTTTTCTTCTCATTTTCCAAAGTTTACTAAAATATTTAATATAAAAATCGATTATTCAGAGACACTTTTATATCGATGTCACTGATTTCCTTTTGTAATTATGACTTTGCTTCAGACAACGCTAAAATATCACTGATGAAAATCATATTGATATAAATGTGAGGTAGTGTTATAATGACATTAACAGACATTGCTATGCCGCTAATAGACACTACTAAAGTTTTTCTGAAAGACGTCACTATAACGCCAGTGAATATATAATAGTGACAGACACTATTATGATGTCATTAACATATACTACTATAGCGCTAAAATATCACGGAAAGACTTCAATAAGATATCACTGTCGGAGTTCATCAAGTTATCATTATATTTCATGACTGTGGTTTTACATTCTGCACAACACTACAATAATGACCTGTCAGACAACAGAAATATTACTGTATGTCATCACTGTTATTTTATATACTGTCTGACACTATAATAATGACCTGTTAGACATTATTGATATCACTGTCATTTTACATGCTGCCAAACGCTACAATAATGACCTGTCAGACATCATTGATATCATTTTGTATCATCACTGTTATTTTACATGCTGACAAACACTACAGTAATGACCTGTCAGACATCATTGATATCATTTTATATCATCATTGTTATTTTATATGCTGACAATCACTACAGTAATGATCTGTCAGATATCCTTACGATGTCTCTATCATGTACCACGATATCGTAGTGAAATACGACAACGATGACTTATATTACTTCTAGACACCAAATTCTGTTGCTGATATAAACTGCTTTCTATTATATCAATATATAATTCATGTTTACAAAGATGAAAGTGTAAATGTTTTCAGAGACCACTAACTTATGTACTGGTTACATCACCTTTTGCTACAGCACAGTAGAAAACAGCTGAACTAACTGAAATATAAAGTATTTATTTTCTTCTGTTGCTATGAATAGTTGGTACTTTGTTTTATTCTAAGTTACATCTTATATTAAAGCTCTTTACTCTTAAAGCCCGTTACTATTTTATTGAGTTAAACCAATTCACCGAATTCCGTACCACTAGCTCAGTTACAAATGTGATATTTCTGGATGAAAATGAGAACGAAAGAACTAAAGAAAGCCGAAATTACTTACAGCAAATTCTAGTTTCCAAACTTATTAATGTGTGAATTAATAAATATACATAATATTTATTAAAACTATCACTCACGATTTTAGTCGTTAAAGTCTTAATTATCATTAACACAGAAGATAACAGTTTAAGTACAGAACAGAAAGAGAAGGAAAAAAAAACGTATCTCAATTTTATATAATTTTGCAAAAGTTTCCGTACGAAAGGTACGTATTTATTGAATACAGCTATTTTAAAAAAATGTTCATTTCTGACCCACACTAGTTTCATGCCATTTTCAAGAAGCTTATTTCGTGAATTTAATAGGATATTTTTTTATGCCTCTACAACAATATAGTGAATCAATAAACCTGGTTTTCGATATTTTCATGATGAAACGCGTGCTAAGGTAGAGGGGTACAACCATATAAGGCTCGTTTTCTCATTATTTATAACGTTCTGACGAAAATAAACGAAAATGTGATTTCTTTTTTTTCTACTATTATGAGAGAAATACCTTTCTTAAAAACGTAGAGGACAGAAAAGTTTACAGCCAGCAAACACTGTGTTTACACCACCCAATCTTTTGTCTAGTATGGAGTGTTGGTGAATATTACCAACAAATTTAAGAGAGAATACAGGCCGTATAAAAATGCTTAGTTTTCGAATTTTAAAACTTATAAAAGAAAAACCTGATAGAGCTTTGTATATTGAAGTTTTAAATAACCTATCGATGTGTGGAAACGTTATAAGTACATTATTATTCTGCAGTACTCTTCCTATTTGTAATGACTAGTGGTCCAGAAATGATAAACTAAAAACTGAAACAGGTTGGTTGGTTTTGAAGTTAGCCGTCCCTAATTTAGCAGTGAAGGACTAGAGGGAAGGCAACTAGTCATCGCCACCCTCCGCCGATATTGGGTTACTCTTTTACCTACGAATAGTGGGATTGACTGTCATATTGTAACGCCCCCACGGCTGAAAGAGAGAGCATGTTTAGTATGGCGGGGATTGGAACCAGCGACCCTCAGATTGTGAGTCAAGCACCCTAGCCATCTGGCCATGTCAGGCCAACTGAAACAACAGAAAAAATAAAACAACATTATTTAGAAGCATTGTATGGCTTAATCATCATTTCTATATGATCTATCAAACCATGGTTTACTTTTTGTTAAACATTACTCAGACTTGTTATCTGTTTTTTGACTGATATATTAGATAATATTATGTGGATTCTCAACCATTTGTTAGTTAGTCGTAACTGAATGTCAGATGGTGTACAAGGACTTGTTAACCATGATACTGTATAGCTAATTTAACCACTCTGGTATAATGCAATTTGAGTGTATTTTATAATGTTCTATGGCTATTTAACCATTTAATTAGTTAAACCATTGGAATAATAATTAATACAGTAATTTCGTGATAAAGTTTTCTTAAATTATTTATTTTTAATTCTCTAATGAAATTTGATAACTTTATTAATGTAATTTTGAGCGTTGATTTATCACGAAATATTTCTATGAGGGTAGATGGCAAGGGAAGAAAGAAACTTTGTGAAGGATGAAAATAATTATAGGCTTCTATTTTATACTTTTTTAAATATCGAAATATGAGAAATGTTACAATTGAAATATATTTGACAAAAAAAAACATTGCAGTTCCAGTATTAATAAAAAACACCTAAATGTTCGACTATTTAATACAAGTGTGAACAAATGGTACAATTAATATATATATTTAAGGAATCCACTGCAACTCCGATATTAATATACGAACACTAAATATTCCACTAATGTTATAGAAATATGGATAAATGCTATAACTGAAACATATTTTAGGCAACTCTGATGAACCTTTGTTACATAAACTTCAAGAATGAACGAGCTAAGTAATCAGGAACTTGTACAGGAAAACGTACATAATTATTTTGTTACTTTTGCGTTATGTTAACGTGTGTTTACATTTCCCACTACTTGATCTCAAGGATCGTGCAAGTTTTTGTTTTTTTGGCATTTCATATTTGAATTTTCAGCAATAATAAATCCCTTGCAGCTTTAGAGACCTGGGAGTTACAATGTATTCAAAATCAAATGTTTAACAGCGTTGAACGATATTCACCGATTTTCTTATTTTAACACTATAAAACACTTGCGTCAGATTTTATCATATTCAGAGTATGGTAAGGAAGTATTGAAAACATCAAGATCCATATGTGAACTATGGGTATAGCAAAGTACAGTAAAAGATATTGAAGACATCCGGGTACTTATCTCGAAGCTATGGGTATAACACATAATAGTAAAACATATTGAAAACATCAAGATCCATATGTGAACTATGGGTATAGCAAAGTACAGTAAAAGATATTGAAGACATCCGGGTATTTATCTCGAAGCTATAGGTATAACACATAATAGTAAAACATATTGAAAACATCAAGATCCATATGTGAACTATGGGTATAGCAAAGTACAGTAAAAGATATTGAAGACATCCGGGTATTTATCTCGAAGCTATAGGTATAACACATAATAGTAAAACATAT